TTAATGTTAACTCACTTCTTGGCAGAAGGCAGCTGTTTTACCGCCTGTTGCCTAAGCATTTAATATAATTTCATTTTAAAATATACTATATGGCTGAATCGGAAAATCGGCATCCCAAGAAGTATGATTATGTAGAGAAAGCACTTTGGGAAAAGTGCTTTCTCTACATAATAACACTATATGGCTCTTTCTGAAATATATTTCCAAATATTTGCTTTTTTGGCTCTCTGAATTAAAACGGTTGCCGACCCCTGGCCTAGGCGGTCACTCACAAATCCATCGCACAGAGACTAGTGAACTAGTGCCTGGAGCATCAACACATAGAACGGACCGCCGCCTTCACTGCCCACACTGCCCCCGGGCATTCGTCCATCGCATGGGCCTACTAGGCCACATACGCATTCACAACTGCAGCGTTAACCGTGATGTCGACACAACCAGCACATATCACACCCCCAACACCAGCTCTAGCCTCCCTCTTTCATCGCCTCGCCATCCCCAAGATTTGGATCCACCTTCAAGCACGCCGGGAAACACCAGGTACGTGCCCTCCCCCCCAGGTAATTTGGATACTGCTCTTGTCGCACTAGCCTACTAATATCTTGCATTATTGCACTTAATCATGATATTTCCTGTAATAGTATTACTAAGTATGTTCTTATAGTAGTAGCATCAATAGTCTCAGAGTATGATTGCTAGCAGTAGAACCTCAGTGTCAGCTCCTAAACAATTACATTTTATTATTTGCTACTTGTTGTCATTATATAAAATTGGCTTATAAATATGTTTATATTATCCTTTGCAGATTCAATCTTAGCAGCCATTTTTCGTTCCCTCCACTTTCCGACCATCACTGCGAAATTGTGTTGGCCTTGGCGTTCCTCTTTTTACAGCCCTGACGATGGTCTTCGCAGTCTCTGTTGATGATCGCGGTGGGTTCTTTTATTTTCGCCACTTTTTCGGTGGTCGCATTTTCGGCATTTACATGATGATTTCGTTATCCCTACAGTCCCCTCTTCGTTTCGGTCCTGTTGTCCGCGATGACCTCCTCCCACTTCACGACCCTGGTGGTTGAACCTGCAGCCCGACTGCTGCTATTACGGTGGCAAACAGCAGCCCCTGCTGTTATATTATTTCTCCCACGACAAGGAGCGCTTCGAACCCTCACGGTCCTATCTCACTATATCCTATCAGTCTTACCAATCTACCCATTAATTGTTCATAGAAGCTGTTTTTGTTTTTTTTTTAAGTGAGGGCTCACTAAACACTGTCCTCGCTTTCATCTGAGGTCTTTTTTTCACTGCCTATTGCTTAGTCCACCATATTTTACAGAGATTGCCGAATATTTTGTTTATAATTTGAAATTTTTGGCGGGTACTAAATACGCTGCCCACCATAATACTCATTGTTGCTGTTTATATTGCTGCTCACACAGAGCAGCCATTATCCACTTTCTATTTTTCACACAACACTACGTTTGTAATTATGGGGCCCTCTGGGTCTTACGTAGAAACTTCATTTATTCGGTCAGGGAAATTCTTTGGGATGCAAAAATAAAGTTTATTGTGAATTTTGGACAGTGGCACACCAAGTCGTCGTCGTCAGATGCGTAGAGACTGTACAGGACATTGAGAATTTCAAACATACCGGAAAAATCGATAATGCTTAGTCATGTTTTGGCAATAGCAGTGTCTGTCGGTTGGCCTCAACGCCACCACCGCGACAGTGGAGGTTGATGGCGCTGATATAACCTCGTCTCCACTGTCCAGTACCGGTGCTGTCTGTGTACATTTGGTGTGAGTTCTCTTTGGAACTGTTAGCTGCATAAGCGATTTCAGAGGATTCTGAGGTGAATCGCCGCTTCTATGAGCGGCAGGTCGGATTCGCAGGTTTCGTCGGGGCGACTGTTAAAGAAGTTTGCCCCCTGTCTACCTGACAGATCGGAGCAGAACAGCGGTGGTGGCGGCGGCGAAGGAGGTTGCGGTGACGGCTGCATCAAGGTGTCTAATATGAAGAATTTTGCGGAGGATGTCGACGTCAGTGTGCTGGAGGTTTGCTGCCGAGGCGGCGACCGGTTCGGTGCGGTCAATTGCGGTTGCTGATGAGGTGGTGGCGTTGGCCATTGCGGCGTCTGAGTTGGTGTACCCTGGACTGTTGGCTCCGATAGCTTAACCGACTCCAAGGCCAACAAACCCAGTGAATGTGGGTGTACCAGTGCAGGATCTGATAGTACTGGAGTCGGTGTGGACGGAACTGTAAGTGAGGACGAATTCGGGGTGGTCACCGAGTTTCGATGGGTTAGACAGAGTCGGTTTCGTGTCGTCGATGGTGCCAACGACTCCCAATGACTTCCAAACACAGTTTTCTTCCAAATCCAGGCTTCGACAATGGACAGCTTTCCTCCAGAAATGCAGCGTATGTTGGCACCTGCTTCTGACTGTCTCTCACTGCCGCTCAAATCGCTCTGATGGTCAAACGGTTGATAGAGATGCATGTCTTTGTCAAATCATCACCTTTTGCACTCCCAAGGCCTAAAGTTCCTCCTTTGTCTCCACTCTCACATCGGAAAGCTGAGATTGCGAAACTTACTGAACAGGTAGCTTCTCTTCAACGGCGATCAACCTCTTCATTCAGGAGTCCCTCGAGCCCATCTGCGCAGAATGTCCAGACTGCTTATTCAGCTCATACCAACTCAGCTATCACAGACTGGTATCACTCCACGTTTGGTGCCAGATCCGCTCGCTGCATCTCTCCCTGCTCCTTCCTCTCTAAGCAGAGCAAACGGGTTAAACCAGTCCACGCGAACTTGAATGCAGCCAATCTCCCTGGTTTCTCTAGCCCCGGTTAAATCTTTTATGTCTGCGACGTCCTTAATGGCTGACGTTTCTTAGTTAACACTGGCGCTCAACTGAGTGTCAGTCCTCCTCGATGCCCCAAACCTGGTCTCTTTCTTCAGGTCGTCAACACTTCACCCGTTACCACCTTCGGTACCTGCTCTCGCTCACTGGGCATTGGCCTCCGACGCCTCTTCCCTTGGATGATTGTCGTTTCTGAAATTATATTAAGACATTAGCATATGTTTGTGCTTCCCATTTTTGAATACTGCTGCCCATTATTCGGTCTAATGAACGCATCTAGCCATTCAAAAATTTAAATTTCCCCAGGACATTTTACGGGAAAAGCCCTTTACTCAACACTTTCAATTAATTCGTACTTAAATGGATGCCAGCTAACGAAACAAACAAAAATATCTTTGGTTCACGAGACTGGACGTAGGCCTTTGTCTCGTTTTTGTCTTAATGATAGACTGCAATCGATGGAGATTATTCGACTGCCTCCAGAATGAGCAGCATAAAACTGGCGTAGTAAAAGAGGTGGAAGTGAAGGAGGAATGAGCACCCGGTCTGCAAACGTGAGGCAGGTAGCGACTACAGATAGCGGTGCTTGACGCAAGAAAAGCTGCTAAAGACCGCCGGTGAGATCAGTTGTTGGCCCAGTGGTCTGCACACAGGTGAACGCTTGGCGCATAACTAGATCCTGTTCGGTAGGGCTTCGGAGGCCGGCATTAGTTACATGTATGCCTCGCATAGCGTCCAAAAGCTGACAGCGCACATCATCGTCAATCGAGATAGCAGCAATCACAGCAACCGAGAAGAATGGTTGATCATGGTTAAATTCGGCGTACTGAAAAGACTGGAATACTTTTCTCCGAAGGTAAGGCAGACAGCAACGGTTTATGGTCAGTCAACAGCGTGAAATGACGACCATACAGCAGCTTGTGGAACTTCCTGATGGCAAAGATGATGGCTTGTGCTTCTTTCTCGATTTCGCCGTAGCTCTTCTCAGCAGGGTTTAAATTGGTGGTCAATGCATGATGGCCTTTTCGGACCTGTCGGAAAAGTATGCAAAAGGACGGTGCCGACGCCATAATTGAAGGCATCTGGAGCTACGACGATCGGCAGCGACCGATCGTTGTGCGTGAGTAGCAGATCCGAACTCACCATTGACTTCAGTTGGACAAAGGCCTTTTCAGAGTCAGAGAACTAGCGCCAGAGGGCATCCTTCTGCAGCAGATGATTGAGCGGGTCTCCTAAGTCCTGCAGCGACGGTAAGAAGGTGCTTTCGTAGTTAATCAGACCAAGAAACGATCAGACTTCTGATAGATCCTTGGGTGCAAGCATACGTGGGATGGCACAAATATTTTCGGGAGGTGTATGTTGACCAGTGGCATAAAAGACTCGAACGCAAATCCTATTTATGCCCTCGTTCAAGCACTGAACACACTTGTTCTTGGAGCTCAGCCAGAGAGCCACCCATGATGATGTTGTCCAGGTGCTCAGCCGTACCAGCAATGTCGGAGAGCATTGTGGTCATCGTTTGCTGGTGAGAGGCCGAAGCGGTGGAATTTTAGCCGACGACAAGTCATGAAGAAAACAATGACGTCTAGTTTGGGACTTTAAAAAGTCCAAATTGAACATATTAGTTTACTGGTGTCTGCACCTTGCAAAATAATTGCGATTATGCCATCGTAACAAGCCATTCTCAATCGCTTTGCGGATTGTGCCGAAGTCGTTTACCACAATTCTACTTACTAAGACAAAGTAGACAATGTTGTGTCTTAAATTCGGAGGACGAAAAAAGTGTCTGCCGATTGCTCATGGGAAGTGCGATGCATGTTGGTGGAGATAAGTTCTACTTCTACTTCTACATTTCTACTTAATGGCCCAGTGAAACGAGACGAAACGACTTATTATAATCCAGCAAATTTAAGGATGATAAACATGGATAGAGAAAGGTCATGTTTCGTGTAATTGCAAGCCAATACATCTACCCCTGTTTTATTACAAAGCGTAGTATATATCTCATGATATTTAAAGTATGCACATAATTAATATTGTGAAATGTTGTAACTTCATAAATTATTTCGGGTACACGACTTACTCTCTTTACAATTCGCTGCTCATCTAGGTTTATCTACAGTAGATGCACTATCTCATGAAATCCAACGATTTTTACAAGTAGCTTCCTCTTACCCAATCGCAGCCCAAGCTGTGGCCCCCAAAGTCTTGCTGTAATAAAGTAATGATCGTTCTTCACAATAGGGCGTATTATGATTTATGA